CAGGTGGAATACCAGTTTTGTGTATTTTGGAAGACCATAAATTTAGGAGGAACCTCAGTAGTAGGGTACAGTTGTCTGTAAGAAATCACCACAGACTTTCTGCAACCTATGATCCACTGCTCACGGAGTCACGTGTGTTATCTGCGTGACGTCACGGAAGCGGTGGATTGCTCATTCCTTGACAAATACTGGAGTTGTAAAGTCGAAAATTTGGGTGAGTCCAATTTTTGTTGTGTTGGAAATTACAGTTTAAACTTACTTCATAATGACTTCTACCAACACAGATGAACTTTCAAGATACAGGCTTATATTATCACCAACCAGTTTCTGCCACACAGGCTACACCACACAGGCTTATCACCACAGTTTCCACTACACAGGCTGCTCCACACAGGTTTTTCAACACACAGGCTTATATTATCACCACCCAGTTTCTGCCACACAGGCTACATCACACAGGCTTTAATATCACCACAGTTTCCACTACACAGGCTGCTCCACACAGGTTTTTCAACACACAGGCTTATATTATTAGGCTTATTTTAGGCCTACATCCATGTTATATTATCACCACCCAGTTTCTGCCACACAGGCTACATCACACAGGCTTATCACCACAGTTTCCACTACACAGGCTGCTCCACACAGGTTTTTCAACACACAGGCTTATATTATCACCACCCAGTTTCTGCCACACAGGCTACATAACACAGGCTTATCACCACAGTTTCCACTACACAGGCTGCTCCACACAGGTTTTTCAACACACATGCTTATATTATCACCACCCAGTTTCTGCCACACAGGCTACATAACACAGGCTGATCACCACAGTTTCCACTACACAGGCTGCTCCACACATGTTTTTCAACACACAGGCTTATATTATCACCACCCAGTTTCTGCCACACAGGCTACACTACACAGGCTGCTACACCACAGTTTCCACTACACAGGCTGCTCCACACAGGTTTTTCAACACACAGGCTTATATTATCACCACCCAGTTTCTGCCACACAGGCTACACCACACAGGCTTATCACCACAGTTTCCACTACACAGGCTGCTCCACACAGGTTTTTCAACACACTGGCTTATATTATCACCACCCAGTTTCTGCCACTTCTGTCCGCAATGACTGAAAGACTGTACTGGAGACAAAACTTCACTAGTTGCACTCCATATAGAGGCAGAAGAATGTTTTATGATTGTTGGGGTGTGCCAAAGTAATATGCAGTGTGACTAATTTCGGAGGTAACACACTACTAGTGAAAAGTCATTTCGGAACGTCAAGTTTCAATTTGCGTTCCGGTAGGTATTAGAGTCCAAGGTACGTGCTCAAGGGCGACAGGATACCAGGGGTAGCGTCGTCCATCTATAGCTTGCTCAAATGTGTTACATTGCTAGATACATTCAAGTTAATTATAGGAATATGGTAATAACCCTTACTGTGTACAGATAAATATATACCAAAGAATGTTTAGACCTTAGAACAAGTAGTATAGGTTGATCCATCCATTGTCTTGTACGTAAGTCAATATTGTTTGTACCCACGTATCTGTCTGTATTTCTACATGTATGTCAAAACTTTACAAAGGTCGCTGTACTTTTGTTGTGTCGATTAAGTTCTTCTATATCTGAACACTTGTCTAGCTGAGGGTGCCCTAGGCATAACTGTCTGCCAAACAGACTTAAATTGGCTAGTTCTGGTGTAGGGTTTAACAGAAAAAAATCCCTACAATAGAGAGCGTAACTTGTCAGTATTACAGACCATGTAGGATTCGGGATTTTGTGGAAAACTAGATGTGATACTATGATAGATTTGGTCCAGAAAATGCGGTAATCATGGCCTGATTTTCATACAGACAGACTGGAGGGAGTAACGCCCGTCTCCCCTGCGGCCCCACGCCACCCCTTGCAGATACCCGCAGGACGTCCCGCAGTTGCCCAGGTAGCGGCCGTTAAGGAAGGAGTCACCACAGCGCCAAAACCACCAGCCGCCCTGGCCGTACCAGTGAGAACAGTGGCCGCCGCTGGCATCATTGTCCCTGTCCACAGTGGAGAACATCTGTCCGTTGTTGAGATCCATGGCGTTTTCCTCTGTACCTGAATACCCGGAAACGTGCAGCCGGTACTGGTCCGACTCACCGGACACCCTGGATGGGAGTATATATATAACTCATCACTAACATCAACGATAATCATCGTATAGTCTGTCCTGCTTGTAAAACACAAGAGTTCAGAATTTCATACCTTAATGATGTCTATCTAGAGCTTTCATAAATTTTGCTGTGTGTGTTCTTTTTGGTAATGATGCAATTAGCATGATTTATTCCAATTGATTGTCTTTTCTACTGTGTGTGTGTGTGTGTACATATGACTTACCATAGTAGTTTTGTATACGGGTTCTGTTTTTCTGTACATTTTCTGTATTTCCATGTGACTTTCTAACTATGTTTGCCCAGAATTCTCACTAGAAGGAGGGGCACCAACCGAAATGTGCTGTATTCCGCGTAGCGTTCCTCTCCATCCCAGCCCATCGTGTCAATTCGGAGCACATAATTCTTTTTATCAGTCAGGAGGTGGATGTTCTCGTTCCCAAGCCAGTATTCCCCGTTCTTGTTCCCAAACCCGTGTTTGTAGTCCTCCCAGGTCCGGTTGAAGGGAACCGAACCGTACATTCTCCTTTGGATCACAGTCCAGCCGCCCGCTGTGGTAAAACGCTCATTATTACATATATATTTTTTTTTGTAGCCTGTGGAATTTTTAGATAAAACAGCACAGGCGATGTTAGCTTTGCGGGGAAGATTGATTGAAATAGACCGAACATGTTGGAGTTTGCCTATCAAAATGAGAGTTGCCTTTTGCGTACCAATGTTATTTTATTTTACTTCATTTACATAGATTTGAGAGCATTGGGCGCAGTTGGGCATATAATCTGCTTATAAGGATCCTTAGCTCATAAATCATTAAAAAACATAATCACAAGGTCGGGGTATATGTAACAAATACAAAACCTACAGTGGACATAAAAGGAAAATTTGCGAACCTTTGTGAACTACGGATCTCTCTGTGGGTGAAAACAATACCTACCTGCAGTATCCATGTCACAGTAGACCTCTACACCGGACAGGGGTGAGCCAAGTGTGTAGACTCCACTGGTCGTGTGTCCGGCGGCTTTATATGCAGCACAGTCTGCCTCTCGTACACGGTAAGTATCTGGGGGAAGAGTCACGACGCAACGACTTAGACAGATAATATCTAACAATAGCTACTAGTATTCCAAACGTTGATATGTTGGACAAGAGTGGCATATTGAGCGACAGCAACATATCTGGAGATCCATGTCCGTAAATGTGGGAACACTAAGCACTAAATAAATCATGGTCTTACAAAGTCTCATTGGCCTCGAATGAAAGACGGACTACATCAAAATGCTTGTATGAAGAAGGTAGAAGTGGCGAGTAGTGCCTGTATACGACTATCTATAGCTAAAACACTACATCTGTATATAATAAACTTATTGCCGGCATGCGTCATAGTCTGTAGGCACCATGAAACGTTAAGACTGTATCGCTGGAAGACACGCAGTGCAGAAATTAAAACCATGAGGTATTCCGACCCTCCAACTCACCTTCAGGAGTAGCAGTCGGGGTTGCCGTAGTTGTGACCTGTGGAGGAGCTGTTGGGGTTGCCGTAGTTTTGTCCTGTAGAGGAACAGTCGGGGATGCCTTCGCTGTGACCTGCGGGGGAGCAGCCGTGGCTGCCTTATTTGTGACCGGGGGAGGGGCAGTAGTCGTTGCCTTAATCGTGACCGGGGGAGGTGCGGTGGTGGTTGTGACCTGTGGAGGAGTAGTCGGGGCTGCAGGAGTTGGGCAGCTACACTGTAACAAAGGCAATATGAATAGATATGACGTTATAAAAGTCGCACGGTGCTAAGATATAATGCAAAGTAGGCAACTGTTTACAACCACATGTAATGACTTTTAAGGTTGACAAAAGTGGCCATGTTGCGTTGGACCGCATGTTGGTTTAAGGCGGTGAATTGTACCAAGCATAATGTTTACCTTCCCAGAAGGTCCGGACGGGCGGTTTGCCATTAATGCCCTGTTGGCTCTGTGGTGCACCTCCGCATTTTTCAGAAAGGTGGCGCTGTGATCACGTCGCCAGTCTTCAGTTGGGTCCACGTCAAGGCTGTTCGACAGAGCAGCCTAAAAGTCAATTATGTTTTCGTTAAATTGATTCAGTGTAACTACAGCCATGAGGTTCGTCGTGGGTCATACTTTTCCATGATTAAAAGCACCATCACACAAAACCACTAGATTTGTCTACATGTTGTATAGCAGCTATTTGGATGAGCATTCTCTAGTTTCCAATTTAGAGAGAGCACAACAAATTTGATAATTACAATTCGAGCATCGTGAGTGACCTTGAAGAGCGTAATTGCTGTTTACGGGGATATAAGTAATCCCCTCCACTTACCCAAACGGCCCGACATGCGTGCAAACATGGTATTTCAACCGCAACAAAAACAAATTCAATTTACCTCAAAACGGTTTTAACCTGTAGGTAAGACAAAAATCTCGATCTGTGTCGGGTGGATTTGTTAAAGATGGTGGCATTCTGGAATCATGGGTCTTAAAAGTTGAAAAATTGCATTTTTGTCGAGCTCAGCAACACTTAAACTTTGAAATATAGAAAACTGTCCGACTCAAACTTCAACTTTGCTATACTGTTTTGTAAACTGCAAAAATTTGGGATTTTCTGAGAAATTTGGGATCGGTTTAAATCAGGTCGTTGTTTGTTAACATCTATGTTTTAGAATAAGCATTCGACGCGCTAGAGAGTGATTTCAAACATATTTAAGCACTGCAATCAAAACCATAACATTTGAGGTATATGCAGTGCGTATTTTATTTCATTTGAACAAGAGAGTCCCCGTAAAACTGCTTATCATTGTTAAAAATGTTTACAGTTGAGACTGGCTCCACGGAGGCCGCGCATAGAACCCCGGTAACCTGATGCCCTACTGTAGAATTGGTAACGTTACCCTAGAAACCGACCGCGTTGTGGGGACATTGTCGCCCGAGTATTGGTCCTTTACTGTCCCTAAAAAGTCTAGTCTAAAAGTAACGAAGGGGTCCTTACTTTGTTCTTAGAGTCCTCTAAAGATGAAGCCTGATATAGAAATCATTCTTACCTTAGACTTAGCCTCATTTTCTTGATCCCTCAGGTAGGCTTGTAGCTCTTCCCGCAGACCCGTCTGGAACGCCATTTGCTGATCTCGTATGTCTCTCATGAAAGACATTTGTTGGTCACGCATAGAGACGAGTTCTCGCAGTATGAACAGCAGGATGACGAAGCTCACGAGAGCTTCTATGCATGACAGAGCCAAGACGATTCTGCTGGTCAGTCGGCTTCCACTAAGACTAACAGAACCTTCCGCAGCGACCTCGCCACTTGGGAACAGCTTCTTGGACAACATCTAAGAGAAACATGCGGAAATGAAGCGAACGATAACATGATTGATGCCAGCACCCAGTCCTATCACTAGTATCAGATTCTAATCAGTCAAATCATTTTAGACTCAAACTGGGCCTGCCCATACTAGAAGCCTGGCGTCGTTAGCTATGCAACAACTTTTCAAGACGACGGACAAAGACTTTGGCTACAGAGACTTTCAGAGGTTTGTCTTCACATTTAGTCGGTTACCTCAGTACCAGAGACACTAGAGTAAAGGTGAACGTGCAAAAAGGGAAAACCGGGCTGGATTAATTCAGATTCAGTCTTGCAAAGAGCTTGTATGTCTAACACATACAAGGCATCTATTAGCACAACTGGATTTGTTCGCTGGTTGAACACTTTTCTTCGGTAGAAGGTAGGCATACTTTCATCCAGAAGGCCTGCTTAATCAGACAAACGCTGGGATTGGAAACGGCAAGAGAAATAAAATGAAGTATTCCACTTACCGCTGTAGTAGTGCCCAGACGCGGCGTCGGGTCGCTCGTGTTTGTCGGTTGCTGGAATACGGAATGCCGCGAGTTTACGGTTGGAATAGGCAGGCCAGAGGAGAGCCTTCTACATGTATATAGGAGAGGCTCTGGATGCTATTCAATGATGTTTGACGTTAAGAGACAACGCTTTAGAAGAAAAATACAATGCGAACCCGGTTGCAGCAACAGGAATGATATATACAGACTTTGTAGAAAAATACTACTCGTTCGCGTTGCTTGTACAAAAAGTAATACATGGACGTGGGAAAGGCGAAGATAAGGTTTACATCTTAACTAAAGACCACCTGTGAGTACTTTTACTTGTAATGAGAAAGCAAGGTCACCTGAATTGTACTACATAACACAATTACCATCGCCAATGACTTCTTAAATTAGAAACCAAACTTCTCAGGAAATGAAGTAAACATGAGCCTGGTGCTACGGAGGTGGGGTATCTTACCCAGTTTATATCTGAATCAAGCCGCCCCAACATATCATGTATATATGTAAATATTCCTAAATATTACTAACACACTAATTCACTTGTCTCGTCCATTCCACACACAAAATCAGTTATTTCCATCTTGATTTTCCTTTTCTTACGTATATATGTCTCGTGTATCAACCCATTCACAACGTCCTGTTCATTTAAGCAATGGGGCCAAGCAGAGCTAAAACTTTAAAGAAAAAGAAGAAGCCTTTATTAGAAAAAAAACATTATCTTTATACAAAGGACGACCTTCTGGCTGCCGGCCTTGACCTCAACACCGCTTGCGAGGCGGCCAGAGATAGATCTACCCCGAGATCCACTAGCCGAGGCGCTACGTCACGCCGGAATCATGCGGCATTCAGTGCGTGTGTTTCTACAAACATTTGTAACAACAAAGCATGTCCACATTAAAGTATTTTATTTTATTTTTTAAATGAACGCAAGCACCTTTAAACAGCATCTGTACCCTCTCAGCTGTGCTAAGCTACAATAAGTGGCAAATTGAATTAAGGTGGACTAATGAACTCCGTTGAAAAAACAGGTGCTGATAATCTAATTAGTGCTGTAGACTGGCAAGACGCTGCTATGCGTTAATAAAGTTACATTTATCATTGAGATGTGCGGAAACTTCATTATTCCGCTAAAATTGAGGCTTTGTGATTGTGGAGAATACCGGGGGTGTACAGAAAAATGATTCATTTTTCCAGTCGTAGTTCGTCAATGTGGTCAGGAATATGTTAAACATAAAGAAGGTCATCGTAAGTTTTTTTAGTGTAGTGGAGAATACCAAAAATGTACACAACTAGAAATCTATTCGTAGGCTCATGCCTAATCTATTCGTAGTTCATGTAGTTCCTATAGTCAGGAATGTTCAAAATATAAATATGAAGATTGAAGTTATTAGATTTTTACATGTTCTGTCTCCGGCTCAAAGCGAGAAAATTACCGTCATTAGTATTATATTTCTTTGTTTTTCACTTATCCCTGGCCGCGTTTTCTATCGCTATATCCTGTCCAAACTTCACATTCGTAAAGGAGCAGCTGCAGAAAATGTACAATCTTCAGGATCGCATTTAAAGTGGTTTAGAGACCTGATATATCTGTAATTGTCTGCCAGTACTTTCCTCGAAAAAGAATGAAGGGTGAGTGATGCCTTACCAAAGAAATGCTGGACCCAATTACTCATTTTTCACCATTTCTGGACATATGTGAGACATAAGGATATCCAATTCGTTGTCTTGCACTCGCTGGTTAGGATGTGACTTCTGAGGATACCACTGGCTAACTGTCATATCCCACACGTCCAGAATGGTGATGTTTAAATCCTCCATAATGCTTCTCATTTCCTGGTTTATTTGGACTGAAATCCAATCCGACATCTGGACGAGTTGCCTATAGTGACGATGATTCCTTGTGTTGCACGTCTTCACAATGACTCTGGTTTCAGGATACGTCTTGAGTAGCCGTTGTATAGAGGACCTAATTTCGTACATGCGGGTGGTGTAGACACGTTTGGGTTCGGCCGTGAAGTGTGAACACAAGCTTAGTATAATCACCACGTTAGGACCGCCCACCATATTCCTGACTTCCTTGGAAATGCCGGCTTCACCAAGGTTTAATAGGAACCAGCTCACAGTTTGGATAGGAACTGTGTGGAATTCGAATGTGACCATAGTCCCAGTGCTGCGATTGAAGCAAGTGTACGGTCCAAAATTTCTATTATCTGAAGCTTTCTCAACAACATTCCAATTTATTAAGCGCTCGACCCATTGCCGGATAGTAGAGTCGCCTCTGAAGTGCACTGAACGGTTAGTTAGGCATTTTGTGATGTCCGTAGGGCGAAACTGTCCAACCTTACAAGAAAGTGAATGCCATGTGTCCTGAAGCCAGTATCCCTCAGGTTGTCGATGTGGAATGCCAGGGTGGCAAAACGGGAGTGATTGAGTAACAGTTGCGTTTTCTGTAGGAAAGATACGAGAAAAACTAAAGTAATATATGGACCATATATACTTCAATTTCTTTACTGGAATGACGGTTGGTTCAAGTTTTTGATAAGCTGGCATTTTCTCGACAAGTATACAAAATGAACAGATCCATGCTTCTGAATAAAGTGAAATGGGTTATGTTTTGTTTATAAGACGCCTTTAGTCGATATGCTCATTAGAAAACTTTCTATTGGTTACTGTGCAAATTCGTATCGAGTGGTGCACGATTGCTGGACAAAGCATATTAATACTTTTGTTAAAAAACAATGGACCTAATGCGTATATTTGATAAGCTTCGATCTTTTCCTTACACAATATAAAGAAAGGAAACGCGTTCTTACCATCAACGTCGGAAACAACAATTGTGCCATTGATGTCAGGAACTAAAGGTGTGTTCCAGAAAGGCCTATAAAGAGCAGAAAATACACACCAATCTTAAGGGCAGACATTGTGCCTCATAACGGTATGCTGTACTCCCCTGATGAGAATGTGATCAACTGATATAGTTCATGGAAATGAGGATTCCTTTGTGCATAATCTGGGGAATCATATATAATTTTTCAGTCAGAAAGATTAACATCATTTGGCGAAGGTGGTGTGATCGTGGAACTCTAGTTTACAATATAGTACTGACATATTTGATGCTACATGGCGCAAACAAAGTTATTCTTTCATATCCCGTCTGTACAAGTCCTCAAACAACATTACCCAATCTGTTCTCAAATCTGATGTAATGTTCCGCAACAGATTCTTCCGTAATATCTGGGTCCGCCTGTGCATATAGACATATCTTTTACCGTTTGTATTGTTTGTATTTTATCTGCATATTTTCTATGGGCAAGTCATGCCTGAAATAAAGAATAAAGAAAGAAAAACGTCCGGCCCTCTGGCAGTTCCGTACATAAGAGGCATAGAGTCGAACTACATTTAAGCAACCTACTTAATTATACTATGATCCATCCACGGGGTCTCAAGTTACGATGCGTATAAACAATGCTGTAACGCCCTTAAGGACCCTTGTTGAACTTGACCGTGGTCTCCTCATCAATCTACAGCATCTCTAGCATGTCGACAACAAACACAAAAATGGTTCAGTGCAGTGATAAGGGGGTCCTCACAATGCCCATTTTTGAACTTGACCTTTGTCTTCTCAACGGTAACCAGACTACCAAAAATCACGAACACCGGTCTATGGTATCAAGAGTTATGCTGCATAAACCCATAGCCACCAAACCAAACGCATGACCTTCTGTCGAATATTACTTCACTTGCCATGATAGTTAATAAGATCATGATAGAGCAAATTCAAGGCTCGAGTCAAGTACATGTTTGTATGGAAGAAACGCACGATGTATAAGACGTTCGAGGTACACAACGACCAATCCGTCATCGTCAATACTTACTTTTAATTACCACAACACAATAAAAAAACTCCAGATGGAACAACTTTCCTGTATGTATTAACTTTTCTCATACCTTTCGAAAAGTTGTTGCTCTTCTTGAGTCATCAGTTTGTCCACGACGTCCTGGGAAGATGTACAGACACGTATTCTGTCACAAGATGCTGTCTTCGGCTTTTCGCAAAACCAAGTTCGGCTTGTGTTTGGTACGGAAAAGTCACATTGACTTGACAAAGGCAGAGGTCGGTTTGAAAGAAGCGTACACATTGTTGTAGCGTCTTCACCTGTAAATTTAAATGCACAGGACCATCGTCTTTTGTTTGGAACCTCTCTGAATTCCCTCAGAAATTGCACGGCTTCGCTGGGGTGGACGAGTTGTACTTCAGGCGTCACCTTACCCGGGAAACTGAGGAGGAAACTAATGGTGTACAGACCGTTCCCGTGGTCCCGTACCGCACCTGTTGTACTGGCAGTCTGGGACTTGTCTCGTAAAACTGCTCGGAAGTAGTCACCGCCATACACCTTAGGTCGTTTGTTGCCATCCCTTGCTACAACCTCAAGTTCAAGGATGTCCCCTACGTGGTACGTTTGTTTAGTGTTGACGATCTCCAAAGACGTGTACTTCGCATCTGTGACCCAGCCTAGGTCAATGCTCCGATTCAAAGTGCGCCATGTTCCTAGTGATGTCACCACAATGGCCTGTTAGGAAGACAAGACGTTGACTTCGCTAAGCTTACATGTTTTATACCGTTTAGTAGTGTCAGGTGACTGAAGGGGCAATTGGAGTTCAACAACGTCAGAATGGAGATCTTAGAGAAAGTCATAGTAGACAAAAAGAATGCACTGTTGCGTAGCAAGCATTGGTTGTCTTCGTAAAGTGTTCATATGGCCTTGTCTTATAGTTGACATAACTAGTATTACCTGGCTAACAGACACGTTTACAACTAGAAAGGCCGACATTTGCTTGGGAGCAAATACAGCATATTTCAGTCCATCTCCCTCCCACGCAAAAGTGGACTATTCCAAACTCACCCCAGTGCAAAACTGGAAGATTCTCAAATAAATGAATTATATTAGAGCTATGTAATTGATAACAAAGATGCAAGATCAGCACTTTGAATCTCGACAGCTTTACTTACAAAATTTCACATCACTCTTATATATCGCACAATCTTATAGCAGGTATGTAAATACTAAATATAACAATGATGAGATTTGATACATTTTGAAGGTCTAATTGCAAAGAAAAGGAAACTATACATAACTTTGTAAATATATATAGATGAACTATAAAACTATACATACATACATATTGAACTATACATTAATTAAATGCACTATGACACTATACATAAATATTGAATAAGATGTACATGACTTACATATACTATAAAACACTACATTCATATATTGAATAATCTACATATGATTGACATGATTATATATATCATACATATACCATGCAACTACAAATATCAGATGTTGAATATGCTATACATGATTTGTGTATACTATGAAACTACAACAGTACCGTTCCCGTTATAGTTACAATCACCACCGTTACTATGATCGCATTTCTAACTCGTTAGTTTTCCGTTACTAACTGGTTACTTTTTCGTTACTAACCCGTTTACAAACGCGCTAGTATTGCATGATTTACTACCGGCGCACTGCTGGAACAGCGGAAGGGACGTTGATCTAGCCTGCATTTTACTATATTGTAACGTTTAAAACGTTTTAACGATCACCGGTGCATCAATTAGATCGATATTTTCTTTTGTCACTGTTGCCCAGGCAAGCGTTTCTATAGTTTGTCAACTTTATTTTACTGTTTTTCTCTGTTTGTTTACTTACTTTACCACCGAATATGCAATCCTAGATGATCTGAAGTTATAAATGCCCCGGTCCGCCGTACATTGTAATAGGCGGCGGGCGTGAGGTAACGTTAGGGATGTGCAAAAACATCGCGGAAAATGCCTATAACACTCGAAAAAAGGCAGCATATTTACACGTGCCTGCAAACATTTTATGGCTAATTCTAGGCCAGTTTTGGTGAGTTTTGTTATGTCCTTTTTTGTTTAGAGTGGGACCGGACGGAAAGCCGTGCCGCGACTCCATAATCGTCCGACTCCGTGCACTTCCGTGTTACATTACGTTGTACGTGACCAACAAAATTACGCCAAAGGCACCACAATCCCACATGTACATATATATTTATTCCCGAAAAAATTCTTTTGAGTACGCATTTCGTCACTAGGATGTTGCTAATTAGTCGTAGAAATAAGGTATAAAGCAGCGTAAACATGTGGCTCGAGTTCTCCTCACTTCGCGCGCCCCGGCATGCAGCCGGCTTCGTTCTAGCCAATCAGAGCGCAGGTCATCAAAGGTGAACCAATCAGAGCGTAGCAGTGCTTTGCTACTTGCATATGTTAATGAAGCATGCAGGGTCCGTCCGTGCTGTTTGTGACAGCGAAGCTCTGCTGAGCGCGGCTGGAAATGTGTTTTGCAACTACATGTATATTTTTACGCGGCTTTTTTGACGTTTGACGCTGACTTCGGCACGATATGTACACGCTACCGGAGGCGGCAAATGAGTGGTCATTTTTACACAATCGTCGAGAAATTTTGGCGTTATGCACCCGGAAGTGCGCCGATATCGGTTTGCGTCCCCTCGATTTTTGACAGTTTCCCCCATCAAAATAAGAAACAAAACTACCGATATTAAATAGAACCATGTATTACAATTATCATTTCAACATGATTGATCTATAACATATTCCATTCTAATATAAGTATAATATCATCATGGTTGTGGAAAGTCCTCAGGTAGCGAACCATTTAGTCGGCATGAGTTCTTGTGCCGCGCCGGGAGTGACGAATATTTTCTTACAAGTTACACATACCTTCCGAAAAACTTTGCGGCACCCAGGATTAGGATGGTCTGCATATTCCCTCGTCGTGATTGTAGATGACTGATGACGTAAAAATCTAGGTAACGTTACATAAAATTGAATGTGTGGGTCATTGTGCACGACTTACGTGCAACGTGACCTCAGGTAACCCGCAATGTTCGATGTGTTCGATGGCCAACGGCAGATAGAACGGGCATTCTTTAGATCGAACGTGGAACGGGTACAGCACTTTTGGCCCCTTTTTTGGCTGAAAATAGCCATTAAAGTCCCCTAAATGAGTCATTTGGAAATGGTGTATGCCAAACATGTGACAGCTATTCTGTAAACACATGTTCAAGGTACCCTTATACCGAATTTCAGATCATTTGGTTGTAAAACCAGCGCTCAGGATCCAAAAATCCATTTTTTGTCGAAAAATGCCCCAAAAAACCTTCATAAAAATTTTTCAAAGGCATGTATCAAAAAAATGAAAAAAAACGCCTAGGGGTATTGGCCCACTCTACCTCCTTGCCAAATTTCAGGTCATTTGACTAAAAAATGACAGAGTTGAATCCCTTTGACTGTGTGGCAGGAGGAGGAGGAGGAGGAGAAGGAGGAGAAGAAGAAACATGAGGGAACACAATATATTTCATCCATACCATGGTATGGACTGAAATATAATAAATACACACGGTTATCCTATTACATTAGAAAATTCAATTCCCGCCTCGGAAAAGTCAGTGCAAGCCAGTTCCGGCACACTTTCGCATCTGTATGTTTTATTTTTGCATTCTGTATTTTTTTGCTGAGCTGCCGTTATCCCGTAATGTCAGCTATGGAAAGACACAGAAATGCCAATTTGAAAATAAAACATGCCGAGGCCAGCGATTGGGAAGATTGCCGGAGCGTCTCCTAAATGTACTTTCAGAAGACCGTAAAAAAGTTTCTTAGTCATCGTGATTAAAGACAACTTTAAGATATTACATATGGCATGTATATATATTTAATATCCATATTTTCATTTACTGCATGGCAAAGAATGCTTAACAAATAATAACGAATATGTTTAACCTTTGATTTTTGCTTTTGTTTTGTTGCAGAGGATTGATTCCGGAGAGGAGTGGAGTTCCACACTGCTTTGCTGACCTGGTGGGAAATATGAGTCTGACGTTACTTATGGTCGCAGCACACAGTATTAATGGATGAACCCCGCAATCAAAAGTAGTACGGGCACAAAGTAGGTCGGCATATTCTTGAGACAGGCGCTGAGATTCTTGTGTGTACGACAGCGAGGGGGCTATTGTAGTAAATGGTAGAGGAACACGCCAGGTTTGCGTCTGTGGAAGTTGAAATTTGATCTTTGTTCGGTTAGCGTAGATTTGCACCTTGATACTGTCACAGCCTAGTGCTGTGCGCTTGCTGCAGTTCCATGACCTTCCGCATGGCGCTTTTAAAAGATTGCGTCACGAGTGAACTAGCCGACAAACTTTAGCACATTTTTACACATTTTGTACATTATACCTTGAACTCAAACATATTCAAGTTCTGTGCCTAACTTTTGCACCCTGCTATATTTTTACCGTGTCGAAGTAGGTCACTTTTGGGTTCTTAACTATAGAAATCCCAATATAGCCCGAAAACTGTGTCCTGCTACCTTATACGCCGATCCTTGGCTAAAGTCCCACCAGCTACCATCAAAATGTATATTAGGTTGATGCAAAATTTGAAAAAAAAGGAATATTTCAAGGAAAGTAGCCAATTTCTGATCGATTGAGCTGCGATGGAGAGCCAGGATCGCGATCGGTCGATTTTTCATTACCTCCATGAAAAATGGAGATATTGTTTTTGGCGCGTCTCTGTGTGTGTGTGTGTGTGTGTGTGTGATTCCGCACATTGTAGTCAGCATAACTTCATAAAGGCTTTATGGATTGTGATGATATTTGGTATGCTTGTAAGTCTTAGAAAGCCTAAGGTCAAGGCCAAATATGGGCCTCCTGGTGGATGACTTTTTTACTGCAGCAGAATGTCCGGTTTGCGTATCTTTTTGTCCTGAACATGTTATGGTCTAGATGTTTTGGTGACAGATAGCTTGTCCTGTCAGGAATAAGTGGTGTAAGTTTAATCCCCCTACCGGCTTGTTCTGGAATTGCAGGTTAGTTTCTGGTAAAAACTTTTAAAGCCAATAAGTCCAAATAGGACCAACATTTTTTTCATTATTTTGGTATGTAGGTAGCTGAGAGACAGTTGTGCATAATTAAATGCTAATTATGCAAATGAGGACTTAATTTGCATAACCAATGATTAAATTCTACAATTACAGTGTTTTATGTAATAGTACTGCTATACATGTAATCTATTTGATCTGTGGTAGGCGGAACATCAACAGACACCAATTATGCAAATGATGACATAATATGCATAATTAATGTGGAAATTTTGTGACTCCATATTGGCAAATGATTTGAATTTTATACCTTGTGACATGTGTAAGTTACTTAGAGGTTAACACCACTATCCATATATTATGTTAATGTAGAGGTCATTTGCATATTTAATGAGGACATGTAACGGCTTACTATTCGAAGAAGCCCGGTACCTAATCTTTCCGATGTCAGAATTTAATTAGAATCGATGCGATGAGTTTACCGCTATCTTCGATGACCCAAACACACCCACAACACACGTAGAACGCACCGTCCCAGTGATCAGGCGGAAAGGCTACACTATCATCCGCGCGGACTAATACCAGGAAGTCTCCGCTGGACCACCAAGATTACGCCACCTATAAAGGCTACAACTAACAGGCTTTTCAAAAAACAGAAAGATATGTACACAGATTTTACGATATTAGGGATATCGTGGCCAAAACATACCATACAAAGTCACGTTTCCGGCGATTTACTGCGCACTTACTTAGACTCTGGTCAGAATTAAACTCCGACCCGGAACCTTAAGTCTACAAATTCTTGTTTGCATTTGTAACCTCCTTCTTAGTGTTAATATCTTGCTAATAATAGCACCTGGCATGTGTATTTCTTGATCTATTGCCATTACATTAGCTCTTCATTTATAACGTGGGGGTTGTACAAAATCCATATGTGTTTGTGATTGTAAGGACACCAACCATAGGAGTTAACAGGAATGTTGCTATTGTCGCTGGAATAACAACCGATGCCAGGACAGGTCGTAGCACCTTCATTGCCACCTGGTATTTCCCCACTCTGTAGAAAAAAAACAAAACAATCTTAACAATTAGATATCAAAGTATGAAAAAGTCACACGTCACTGTATGTGGATTAAAATTAATGAACGAATGAGTTGAAGTTTGCAAATTGAGGATATTCAAGGTCAACCAAGATGGCGACAGCAGCTTTGTTACTTGTCCACTACAAAATGACGGCATCGATGTACTGTCTATTTATTTATTTATTTATTTATGTCTTCTTTATACAGGGTAGACGCACTCAGTACAATATACTGCTTTACAGGCGTGCCCTGTACAGATAGACATAAACACCAACAACAGTAAAACAAAATAACCAAAAGTAACATATATATATACACAACCGAGCATCAAAATCGATGGATCAGGCTGGGTCGAGAGGTCAGAGGTCAGCAATGATGTTTTATCAGCTTCTTGAAAGAGTGGCCAGATGTGACCACCCTAACTGTACCAGGCAACTCATTCCATGCAAATGCACCCCTGTATGCAAAACGGTTTATATGTGTTATAATGTGTTTTCTGTTAGGAGGTGCCTGAAAACCCAGGTTTACTGTAAATGGCCGCGGGTGACCCCGGATTGAAGGACATTCGGTTCGAATTACGTCTGATCAAACATGATTCGGTTTTAGGGCAGTTGGGGACATTGGGGCCCAAACTTGACCACCGTGTTACATCCAAAATGTCTTAAACTGTTGATGTACATACAGGCCCAGAACATAGTCACTCCGCCATTGTACAAAGAAAAACATTTGGGGGGGGGGGCAAAGGTAAGTTATTGGGGTCTGAATGATTTTGGAAAAATACTAAATTAGGAGAAAAGTTTTATTATAGCCACGGCATAGCCGATAGCAATACAAAATATTGATATATTACAGCTTAGCAATCATTTGGCGCTTATGACGTCATAATAAGGCAGTTGAGAAGGAGCATTTCTGCAGTGACTTGGCATCTAAGAAATTTATATAATACATAAGGCCACACCAATTAAATTTGTTGGTTCTCGGATTTTTTACAGAAAAAATATGAAGCGACAGGAGGAAAAAATATAAACAGGTCTAGGTGTCCTATTATATGTCTGACCGTTTCCAAAATCATATCCAGTCGCTTGAGTAACTGCTTTTTGGCGTATCGTATTACCTGGATGTCTAACCTTCCCCGAGGATGTCCTATTACAATTTTATAGCCCCAAATGCTACAATAGAAGCCATGAGGTCAACACAAAAGAACTCTGAATCAAACCACTGCATTGATAGATGAAAAAAAAACTGGGAAGAAAGGGACTTTCTCAAAAGTTGGGGGCAAAATATGAGCATTCTTTTGTTCTGAATCAACTTAAAAGTTGATTCAGAACCAAATTAAAAAAAATGAAGATGCAAATACGAGAACCAACAAATTAAATTGGTGTGGCCTGATTTGTTATTATATTACGTGGTGTAGTGGTAGATCATTCGACTGTGAACCGGGAGACCCGGGTTCGAACCCGAGTCGTACCCGGGACATGTCTGGACATGCGCCCCGACATTGTGCTCTTAAGGAAAGGCACTTTACACGACTTTCCTCACTCCACCCAGGCGTGAATGGGTACCTAACTTCGGTTGGGGAAAGTCGTATTGAGGTCACCTTGTGGCGCCGAATGGCAGCCTCACAGACACTTGCGACAATTCCACAAAAATTGTGGAGAAAATATATGTGTTATCATGTGTATTACTTGTTGTGATTTGTATTGATTATTATGTGATACCCTGCATCAATTCAGCCGTCAAAGGCTGCGACTGCACGGGTACTGTTTGGACAATAAAAAAAACATTAAGGCACTGTCTTATTAGTACACTGAATAATAGTCAAGTGTCTTTTGGCTCGGAAGTAAAAATAATAGTAGGGATATAGTTTTGTGATTGGGGTATTGGAAAATGCCAGGCTGGTTATAAAAATAGCTTATGTTCACTGCTCATAGTCATAAATATTGTATGAGGATGCCTAGCACCTAACACCAGTACTTTTGCACAATGTGTTCAATAGCCAACATATTTTAATACCTAGCACAGACGTAGGCATTCAATATCAAAGATAATGCATGTACTACATGTATATACGAAGTACAACGTATAAACTATCATTAGGTGTTATATAATAAGAACGTGTAGTTCTCCTTTGTGAAAAACTCAAAGGATCTTATCAAACTACTTGGGTTGATAATACCTGCACTAGCCTTCACAGAGCAAACCGCCGACAACGAGGACAGCTCTTTCGGCAACAAGTCTCGATTTTGCAAGACACACAAACTACTACCCCTAGAATGTCTTCATAATGCGATTGTAAGATGTATGTTACTGGGCGCTAAGCTGACGCAATGTACTGTGTGGAAACGCCTGGATTCCTACTGTGGCGGATTGTTTGCACAGTGCCAAAGACGCACGGGAACGAGTGTGACCTCTGTGTGTTTATCAACATTATAAACCTATAAAACTATTTATCTTGCACTTACAGCATGTCGTGCCCCTTTTGCACGTAGCCTGGACTGTTCTTAGGCTATGGAACACAGGCCAGTCTCAAGTTAGCCTGAATGTCAGGCTGTTCTCATAGCCAAATTGCAATACACAGGCCAGCCCCGAGTTAGAATGTCTACTTGAGGGGTCTGTGGCAACATTTCCTTGAGGACACGTTGGCCCTGGAGCCGAGGAGCTAGAATGTAGACTGTCTCTGGCAACAGTCTAGCACCCAGGCTAGTTTGTACGTTCCTTGGAATCACCAACCATAACGGAAAGAGTAAAGAACTTATAGCTTACTAGGTCTTTGAATATTTACTGTAAAATGCTACAAGCTCAGACTGATTAGCGCTAACAACACGGTTTGCTGTCCACGTTATAAAACGTAATCAACCACGGGACTGTATAACGGATAACACAGGTTACTTGAAACTTATACTGAAAGAAATTTCGTGTTGGTGTTCAGGACATGTTAAGAAGAGGAATGTTTAATGACTAGACTGTCGTAATGCTAAGAACAACACTGTGTTTACTGACAATAAACATTCAGTGAGAGGCAAACATACGTCAGTGGTTTGTTTGTCCACGTAAACGTGAGATTCCTATCGCGAGCAAGCAGACAATACGATATAATGGTTAATCACAGGAACTCTGTAATTACAGTGGGGGGTTGCTACCAACTGACCGGCCGATGGGTCTAGACCTTTTCGGTCTAGTTAGAGCGTCGGAGTTTGAATCTGGTGCTCGGGAGGTCGTGAGTTCGAACCCTGCCCGGGACCAGGAGGGTTTTTATCTGTTTCTACTGCTCGCCTCCTGTGTCTTACAACTTCTTCTGCGCATGCTCTGTGCGGACCGGAAGTGGACTGATGTCCCGAACAGCAGAGGAAGTTTTGTCGATAGTAATCTTTATTGTCTGACTTCCGTTACGTCCGCTGTGGTAGTCTGACGTCTTGTACGTCATTCTTCTCCATTCAACAAGCAAGACGGGCGCTTCTGACGTGAAAAATCTGTCAAGAAAACGACCAAAACAACAGGAAGTCTTGGGTATAAATGATGAAGCCGGCGAGTCAGGGACACAACTCCAACAGGACGACAGAGACACAGGACCATCAGAAGGGAGAAGACTGACTGACGCCCATCAAGACATCACTGCCACAGCTCACCATGGTGTCCTTCAGGGGAACTGTTTTCTTCTTCATCGTCGGCTTTGCCGTGTCTACCCCGATCTCCAAACGGCAGGTAGGGTATAAAATTTCTCCTCGGAAATTTATTGTTGGCTTGTGCCACACTTTTATTAACAAGGGAATTTAAAGTGATACTAATACTTGCGTTTACATTTAGTGTTTGCCTCTAATATGTCGTTTATTTTGTAAATTTGTCACTGTAAATTTGTATCTGCCAGTAACATTTGTCACTCAAAATTTGTATCTGCCGACAACATTCGATCAATTAATTCATTGCATGAATTTAACGCCACCAGCGATGTTGCTATTCTTTGCAAAACAACAACATATCACACTGTGACTGCAAAAGAGTATTGATGATATTTACCCAAGGAATACTACTGGGAAGGTGCGAAGCCGAGAAGGCCAATGTTTTACTTTTTTAGTTGTGACTAACATTCTCATCTTCTAGGCTGAACAGAGTACCGAAGAGGCGTTCAGCTGTGAGGGCAGGTCTCCAGGCATGTACAGTGACCATAAGAACTGCTCCATGTACTACGAGTGTGTGCTGGGCCATCCCGTGTATCACCGCGCATGTGCGCCTGGAGGACCCGTGTTCGACGAACAAGACCAGATGTGTGACTGGCCAGAGAACGTGGCGCCACCTTGCGGGGTAAGAAAGTATTGCAAGTTTTCCTTACCTTCTCGCATACAAAATTTCCTTAAAAAAACGTCACGTGCATGTTTAGAGTGTGTTAAAGAACTGCGTTTGTTTGTATGACCAGACCCAGAGGATGGTTACGGAGGCGCCCGACCCTTTCACGTGTGAGGACAGGGCCCCCGGTCTGTACGCAGACCTGCTTAACTGCAGTATGTACTGGGAGTGCGTGGTCGGACATCCCGCCTACAACCGGCCCTGTGCGCCTGACGGACTCGTCTTCAACAGTCTACTGGGGGTGTGCGACTGGCCCTACAACGTCGTCGGTACATGCGGGGTAAGGCTGTCTGATATAAACAGCATTTTGGACTTAGTTGATCATGTCAATCATAATCAACGTATTCATGAATAAAAAAAATGCTAAACAAGTAGTAGTAGTAGCAGCAGCAGCAGCAGCAGCAGTAGTAGTAGTAGTAGAAGTAGAAGTAGTATCAGTAGTAGTAGTAGTAGTAGTAGTAGTAGAAGTAGTAGTAGTAGTATCATCATCATCAGCAGCAGTAGTAGTAGTAGCAGCAGCAGCAGCAGTAGTAGTAGCAGCAGCAGCAGCAGTAGTAGTAGTAGTAGTAGCAGTAGTAGTAGCAGCAGTAGCAGTAGTAGTATCAGTAGTAGTAGTAGTAGTAGAAGTAGTATCAGTAGTAGTAGTAGTAGTATTAGTAGTAGAAGTAGTATCAGTAGTAGTAGTAGTAGTAGTAGTAGTAAAAGTAGTAGTAGTAGTATCAGTAGTAGTAGTAGTAGTAGTAGTAGTAGTAGTAGTAGTATCTGCTGTAGATTGCTGTTGTTTATTATGAGAGGAGGAGGTATAGGTACATATAGCAACTTACTAAACTGAGATGGACATTACGGTTACTATATGGCCTACAAGTGCAAAGCTGACCGTGCGGCGTTTTGTATCGTTCCTGACAGACCAAACCTGACTCGCGTGATACGGGCGACGCCATGACAGGCTCTGGAAACGAGATGGACGATGCAGGCTCTGGGGACGAGAACACCGAAGAAACCGTCGAAGGTGAGCTAATTATAAGTTGTTCTTTTATCAATGCAAATGATAACGGTAAATGGATTCTTAACTTTCAAGCAGCACAAGGTTAATAACGTTCTTTTTATAGCTCACATCTAACAGTTTTATCATTTACAAAGGTATAGATAACAGCAGCAGAATCGGGTAGGAAATTCCTGGTCAAGAGCTGCAAATACTAGTATATCTCAACATTCATTGATCATATGGGACATTTGTATTGACCCTGAACATATCTCAACATTGATAGCGTGGTCTACCTGTTGAAATTTTACTGATGCGTTGTTGTTACCAGTTTTCAGTTGTGATGGGAGAGCCGAGGGCCTGTACTCGGACCCTAGCGACTGCTCCATGTACTACCATTGTGCCGCGGGCCACCCTCCCTACCACCGCCCATGCGCCCCGGGAGGGACCGTCTTTGACGAGCAAGACCAGATCTGTGATTGGCCCGAGAACGTAGCGCCACCTTGCGGGGTAAGTTTGCGGGGCAGTCACAATACCCCATTATGATCCATTACGTATTTCTAAACCTTTGGTGGTACCAGCCAGTTACTAGTACACGTATATAGAAATATAATCTATTATTTGTGACGTTGTGTGGCGCACTGGTTAGGGTGCCTGACGTTGTACCCTTGGGAAAGGCACTTTCCACGACTTTCTTCACTTCACTCGGGTGGAAATAAGTACCTAGCTTCGGTTCGGGACGTCCCTTGTAATATCAACAGTAACCATCCTGTGTACTCAGTGATGGTACCTTCAATTATTCACATTCGGTATATGTTTTATTGTGAATTGTACTGATTTTGTACTACAAGACAAATCAGTCAGTAACTCCAGTCAAACAATGCTACATTTTTTTCATCGCAATGTAATATTTCCTACGATAGTACAGGTAGCCTTTTTCAGGCCGCAGGGCTAGGGGCACTGCGTTGTTATCCGCTGTATCTAGGGCATGGTAATGAGCGGAGCCCGTCGCTCTACTTCCACTGCCTCTTTCCTCTCCAGCTGAAGTCAGGTACACATTTTACACCTGGATGAAGTGAGGAAAGTTGTGTCAAGTGCCTCTCCCGAGAACACAAGATCGGTGACATGACAGGGTTCGAACCGAGGACCTCTGGGTTCTGGGTCGTTACCCCACCTAAGATAATTAAATGCATATGAAATTAGAAGTAGCGAGAAAACGATACTTACCGATGAACCTTATATCACAGACAGAGACGATGCCTCCACCCTTCACGTGTGCGGACAAGGTCCCGGGCAGCTACACCGACCCGCAGAACTGTGCCAAGTTCTACCAGTGCGTGTCCGGCCACGCCGAGCCGAGCCACCGGGACTGTCCCGCGGGAGGACTCGTCTTTGACGCCGAGCTGATGATCTGTAACTGGCCGGCGGCCGTCATGGCTCCATGTGGGGTATGTCTTAATTTTCATTCCCTTGTTTGACTGTTTCACCAACAGAGATTTGCATAACCGGTAAACCGCCTTTAGACATTCATTCCTAGGTCACATTTCCAAACCGGGGCCCGGCCGGGCTGTTTGTACGAACGAAAAATTAACTATTCATATCAAGAATATAGAGAAATAGAGCCCATGATTGTTATTAAAAACTTTGAGATCTTTTGTTGTCTTCTGTATCGTATTTTTCGTTCCCAAAAGCTGCCCGGCCGGGCCCCGTATGGGAATTGTGACCCCAGCATAGCGCACTAGTTTTGTACAGTATGTACAAGTTGTGTAAGACCGGACTGTAAGGTTTGATCCACTCACACCGGGAAGAAACCTTGCTGTTTTAGTAAGTGTGGTGGGATCTTTAATGTGATCAATGTGTGGGACCTCCGGCTTTACGTCCCGTCCAAAAAGACCTCCCTAACAGAAGCAAGATAATCTCATTTTCACCTGAGTTGAGTGAGCAAATAGGTGTTAAGTATCTTTCCTAAGGACACTAGTGGGGTCTGCCGGGATTCGAACCCAGACCCTTCGTATTCTGAGTCAATCCAAATCACAAAGCCACCTTACGATCTTCGGGACATTTCTGGACTTGTTTCTTCAAAATTATTTGAAACAGTCTTAGTTAACTTGTTATTTCATATGAGAAATGCACATTTTGTTATGTTTGCTAACTAAACACAGAATTTGTAATCGCAAAATAACACCGCACGGGTCTTGGAATTCATTCCTGACAGTATCATGATATACTATCTGCTCTTCACATCCTAATATTAAACATTTTTGTTATAATCTCATTATTAATTCAGGTGGCTCCTTGACGACTTGCCATTGATCATTACTTGTTGTCAGAAATTGTTAAATGAAATATGTACTAATCACATGTGTATGTATTCCTTCTTTCAGTACAAAACTGAGTAGATGCCAGGAAGACACCAAAAAAAAAACCAGGAAGCCCTCAGCAATCCTTCCTGTATGTCTTGTGGCATGACGATATCGTCGTTGTTTGTGTAGCTTTTATGGAACGATGCAAATACATCGTAACAAAGCTTTTATCGTGTTCCATAGCAATAACGTTATTAGTGGCCGCTGGTCGGTCTGAATGTTTTGGACGTCTTCGTTTTTTAAGTAATGGCGTTTATTTGAGAATTTGCTTTATCTGTGAGATTTTACACTATTTTGCAATAAAGAGTTAACCATTGTATAATATTGTGTTTCAACTGTCTGTGGAAAATTACTTTAAAGTTAAAGGCATAAAAACTAAAGATGTTAGTTACTGTACTTATTATTCATTTCGTATGGTTAAGGTTCACCGGTTCAAATACAGTAAAATTGAGTCAAACAGAATAATTGACCAGGGGAATTTAGCAACCGTACAGTTCATCCTCCCTCGGGCTGATTCTACCTGTTATTATTTTCCTTACGAAACGAGCAACCGTTCTCCGTCAGCGACATCGCATTTTGCCTCACGAATATAAGTATGCTATGGGATAGAGTTGATTCAACCTCAAACTACATTAAAAAATTAGCAGAAAATTGACTTTAAAAATTAAGTTTACTGCCCTAAAATCGCTTTGTGGGCCTTGTAGAAATACGATTCAACTAGCCACTAATTTTTGTTAAAAAAAAGAAAGAAAGTTACGTGTTCAATTCAAGGATTGGATAGGAGTAACTACTAGTATCAGGGTAACTGCATATAATAACCTAAAACCTCCTTGTTTAAGATATGAGGTTCAACATCAAACCTCACAACAATCAACCAAACAGACAAATGAGACACAAAATGATAATTCTCCAGAAATTGGGACTCCAGGTCAACTTGTCGTGTCTCTGTGAACAGATACTATGATTACTACTGGCTATTTCTTCTGTGGCTCGAATATGGTATCACTTTTATCCCGTTTCTAAACTTGAAAAGATTTTTATATGCTACAGCAAAATACTATAGATTTTTGGCACGAAATGTGAATTTCTGCGGGACACAAATGATATTTTTTCTGTTTCTTTAACACCTCAAATCTATAAAAACAAGTAAAAATCAACATTATTTACCCATAATGCATCTAAAGCCACACTTCGCTGTATTGCTCTCACCACTTTCCTGTTAATTTTGAAACAACCGATGCCACAGGCCGCAGTCTTTCTGACACCGTGTTTCGTGGAGTTGGCGTACGCCGTGGAAGCAGAGTAAAAGACTTTAGCGTTTAGAATACAGGTGGTTGTTTCATGGAATCTTTTTTTCGTACGTTAAGCCATTTGTTGTGGTATCGAAAGTCATTTGTTCATTCCCATACTTGAATAGTGCAGCTCGGCTGCCACTTCTTCATGATTTTGGTACTATTTGTGACAGATACCAGTAGGCATGCAGCGCTTTTTATCCGCTGTCAAAGAAATGCGTGTAGTACCGTTGATGATTAACAGGTGGCGCTTTTGATACACGTAGAAATGTACCTTTTCCACATCAGAAGTCTGCCAACATTGCATGTAAATGACGGGCATGTTTTTCTACAGTGGCCCGTAAGTACAGCCCTGCGTGTCTGCGCGAATACCTTCCACGTCTGCGCGAATACCTTCTAGCACAGCAAGCCAGGCTGTGGTGGCTGGTATCCCCGTGTATTGAAAATGGTGGGAATTGAAGAATCAACCCAATGAAAACCGGAGAGAGGTATCAACGATTTTGCTTCTTTCTGAATCCGTTTCAGTTGATTTCCTTGCCTTCAATTACATGTACACGGACTGGTATGTATTTCCTTATGTAGATCAGGTGGAATGCAAGCTGTTTTCTTGACGGTGGGTTGTTTAGATTAGGTCAAGCATGTTAGATACACGCCTTACTAGCATAAAGAAATTTAAAAAAATTAAGCAAGACAGTCATAAAAACCTGTAAGCCACCTAGGGGTTTACTTTGTCACTTTAGGACTTCATAAGAAAATAATTTGCCGTTACAGGCTAGCTCTATGCCTAGAAGTGGCCAATGGCCTTGCATTGAGCGACACCGTTAAAAAAAGAGTTCCGAGATCTCATACCTCCATGAAATATGGGCTTGCTTTGTCATACTTCATGTCAACATGTCCTTATTAATTATGCAAATGACCCCCACATTAACATAATATTTGCATATATGGTGCTAACATTTATGTAACTTACACATGTCACGGGGTATAAAATTCCCATCATTCACCGATAAGGAGTCACAGAATTTTTACGTAATAATACAAATTAGGTCATTTGCATAATTGGTACCTGTTGATGTTCCGCCTTCCACAGATTAAATAGATTGCATGTATAAAAGAAGTACTATATAGAACACTGTTATTATCGAATTTCCTCATTAGTTATGCAAATTAAGTCTCATCTGCATAATTTATATTTAATTATGTACAACTCTCTCTCAGCTACCTACACACCAAAAATGATGAAAATGCGTTGTTCCTATATGGACTTATTTATTTTATTTATTTCATTTTATATTAACACACCTGGGTAGCCCACTCAGTTGATTTTCAGTGGGGCCCAGTTTACAGAAATGATAAAACATAAGTTTATACTTAAACAGAAATAACAGAGAATTGTATGTAAAACATAAAGAACTCATGTAACCAAATTATACAAAATAAATACATGAGATTACTTAGAGACAAACAAAACCGTAGAGAACAAATCAAAATCGTTGTCAGAGAGAATGGTTTATTCAACATCAAAAACCCTTGCAGCACAAGTGTTGAATCGCGGTTTCTTTCCACTAAAATCTTATGCTTAGCAGCATTATGCATTGCAAATCAGAATTAACAAAGACATAAATCACTATAAAATCAAATAAAATCACTACCATCACGACTTACAGTTCTGCTACTTTAACTGTCATTCAGCAGGCGGACACAATAGGGTAGTGTACTGTTTAACATGCGCTGTGTTCGGCACTTAAACTGTGTCAGTTTCGTGCTGTTCCTTAGTGTTCTATTATGTACATCCCCCCTTTGTGCTGGCAACCAATTACGGTATTTCTCACTGCTTGTGAGAGAACGGGCAAACCTCAGGCACAGTTCATCACGTCTGGTATCTAATCTACTAAGTCCAGTAGTGTCCAGGGCCGTGTGATAACAGTCATATTCCGACCCAAGTATTACTCTGAGTGATCGTTTCTGCACTCGTTCTATCTTCTGCGACTGTTCTCTGGTCAGTCCAGGGTGCCATATCACGCATGCGTACTCCAACACAGGCCGCACAAACCCGATGTAGATGAGGATGACATCACTTGTGTCCGTTACTCAAAAGCCATTGATCAGTCAAGGTCGGTTATTCCTACGGAGGTCAGAGGTCATTTAAACTATGTAAGACTGTAAAGATTTGTATGTTCTTAAGAGCAACCTTTCAATGAAGTCTGTTGCATGATATTTTGTGGAAGTGAGTTATAACAGTGCACCCCACTGAATGCGAATGAGTGTTGCCCTGCAGTGGTTTTGAAGAAAGGTAAGTACAGTTGAGACGTCTGCCTGGTATTGTGGTAATGAAAATTGTAGTTATGCAAGAAGGTGGATGAGAGATATGTTGGTGCTAGCCCATTTATGCACTTAAAAACCATAAGACATGTGTGATCCCTTCTTCTATCGGTGAGATACTGCCAGTTGAGTTTAAGACGGAGGTTAAGGACACTGCTGGCCTGCTGTCTCTGGTGCAGTACTATCCTGGCGGCACGATTCTGCATTATTGGCTTTAAAAGTTTTTACCAGAAACTAACCTGCAGTTCCAGAACAAGCTGCTAGGGAGATCAAACTTACACCACTTATTCCTGACAGAATAAGCTATCTGTCACCAAAAAGTCAAGACCATAGCATATTCAGGACAAAAGATACAAAAACCGGACGTTCTGCTGCAGTACCAAGGTCATCCACCAGGAGGCCCATACTTGACCTTGACCTTTGTCTTTCTAAGACTTACCAGCAGACCAAATATCATCACAATCCATAAAGGCGTTATGAAGTTATGCTGACTACAAAAATTTGCGGAAACACAAACACACACACACACACACACACAGACAGACAGACACACACACACACACACACACACACACGCCAAAAACAATACCTCCATTTTTCATGGAGGGAAAAAATAACGGGCATACCTGAAAGTAACACCTCCTGTACAGTGGTGTGGCTATCAATGCTGAACTTTGCTTTGTTTTGCTGCCAATTCTAATGCAAATCCCCAAATCCCAAACAGGATAATGTTCCTATTTTGTATACATCTGTGCTTTACGACTAGTACTGCACTCTATAATTTTGGCAGGATTTAAAATGTGTGAAAGCCATGCTTCCTTGATTATGATTTTCTTCCGAATACACCAAAACTTAAAACGCAGGAGAAAATTATTATTTTTTCGCTTTAGAAGAAAATGTTACAGTAATTTATCCCATCAAGTGGCTCCCCGCCCTTGAGGAAAAATGTACCATAAAAAGACATTGCAAGAAAAAAATAAAGCAATTTGAAGAAAGGATTGTAGGATTATATATTTTCATTTCAGTAACTTAAAGCAGTTGCACACAACGCTCGGTCATATTCTACCTGTACATTGCGACTTGCATATACAATGGAAAGAACTAGCCTCCTGTGCAGGCCCTGCGGCGGTGGGGAAGAGTTTTTAGCGTGGGCGGAACGGAACCTTCTCTCGGCGGCTATGTAGGATGGCCGGCTATATTGAAATAACGCGCTAAACACTCCTCCTCACCGCCGCGAGGCCTGCACAGGAGACTAGGAAACAACAACAAACAGACTGGAGATACGGATCCGCTTACACGTCGACACGATTTGAGGGACGTTTAAACATTTATGCTCTGCACAAAACCCACAGGACCCAGCCACACATCTGAGTGTTAAATACAAGTTTTTATTTTAATCGAGGCTGTATTTCAGGTAATCGTACTCCTTGTTATTATAACGTAGAGTCAATTAGTGGGGGTAAATGCACGTTACTCTTGTTACGTGTAGTAAATCCAATTGCGCTGATAGCGTTTCTTACTTGCGTATTTCCCCGTACTTTAGACTGACAGTGTTATTACTGATAGACAACTCTGTTTGAATATACAGTATTTGTCAACATTGCTCGCGTATTGTAAGGCAGAAGGGTGGTTTGTGCGCGGAACCACCGGCGGCGACGTAGACACGTAGTTCACGGGGAAGCCGAACTCTAACAAGTCGCACAGATGGGTGTCGGTATAAGTAGGCAAGAGCCGCCGCCAGGCTGCAACGTTCAGTCCAGTTGGGACTGGTATGCGTTCGCCCTGAAAATTGGGTCTGCCGGATTGTCTCACTCTGTCGTGCTATAGTCGGTAGCTATAGAGGATCATAGAGTGACAGGTCTCGAGGAGCGCCTTGAGCAGGCTGAACTCTAGATCTGTGACTGGCGTCTTGACGCGGGCATTACTTGCCGTAACGTGTGCGGGAGCACATCCCGGATTTGACGGGATCGTATCAACACAGGCATGGTCCGTAACACTGGCATCACATCGGCAAGAAGACGATCTGATGTGATTCTATCAAGACTCGCAT